TCGATCAGATTGTAGATGGTTCACTCTCAGACCCACCAACTCCATTGAAATTTGCTTGCCATGGAAAGCAGCAGCAACCTCATTAGAATTTAGATCTGATGCTATCTTTTTTTCTAAAATTCAAATAAAATAATGTCATCAGAATCTTTTGTTAATTTAATCTTCATTTTTGGTTGGATTAAGGACCAAGTGGTGACCTAATGTCTCTCCAAAGTCTTTAAATTCATTTTTTCATCCGCTTTCTCCTTCAGTCTCTGTGTATATGCATTCCCTATGGAACCACATTCCTCAAGAATACTAGTTGTGACAATTTTGGTCGCTCACGTCGAGCTTGGCACCGGTATCATTGGTTTTGGCCTCGACTTCATGCAAGTTTCCGGCTATTTTCAACTTCGGTGACTCAAACTCCGACACCAGTGGCTTCTCTGCAGTTTTCGGCCAGGCGGGTCCGCCTCATGGTCAGTCTTATTTTCACCACCGGCCGGTCGTTATTGCGATGGCCTCCTTGTCATTGATTGATTTCATAGGTACACTCCATTTGCCATCTTCTCATCCATTCAGCTTGTGAAGTATGGTAGACTACTGGACTGGTAGTTATTACCTAAAACTCTAACCTCAACGGACATACAGCTCATTGACTTTTTTACTGTTTTTTTAATTTTATTTTTAGTTTCCGCCATGGCATGTGATCGAAAACGATCTACATTATAACACGTGGATTAGTAACGCCTCTAAATAATTGCTCAAGAAAAATTATCTGATATTTAACGCTCAATTGAATGTTTTGTTTTCAGCTAAAAGCCTCGGATTTCCATTTCTTAGTGCATATCTTGATTCAATGGGCAGCAACTTCACTCATGGAACCAACTTTGCAACGTCATCCCCAACCGTAAGACCCCCGAACACAACTCTTCGTCAAATTGGAATTAGTCCAATCTCCTTGAACGTCCAATACGACCAGTTCTACGATTTTCCTTCGAGATCCCAAATCGTTCGTAGTCGAGGTTCGTAGTACTACTTGGATTAATATCTAGTTTTCTCTAGTGCAGCTAATTGTAGTCTTTTAAATAGCAAATGTGTCGACTGTCAAGCCAATATTGTTCATACTTCGATCTTATAAACTTCAATGTAGGTGGGGTATTTGAACAGCTAATGCCTAAAGTAAAATATCTTATCTCTCGCGCTTTGTACACGTTTGACATTGATCATAACTGAAAACATCAATTTTCTTAGTCATAATTTAAGGATCACCAGTACAAAAGATCAATGAAATTAAAATCGTTTAATCATCAATATCTATCAAACAAATGAACTCATATACATGCAAGTACTATCTTTCTTTTTAAATTATTTTTTCCAAGACCATGCTATCAAAGTGGTCAATGCGGTTAGCAAGGAAAAGATAAAGAAAGACCCTCTTTCGTCGTCTCTCTATAAAAACAAGGCCGTCTACTTGTCTACACTTCTCCCCTTGAGTCTCTCTCTATGCACTCAACACATGGAATTTGTTTTCTTAAAACATCATGTTCTCTTCGGCCTTGTAATTTGGGCAACACTGCTTCCGAGTCCCGGCATTTGCACAGGGCCATGCTCTTTTCCGGCCATATTCAATTTCGGAGATTCGAACTCGGACACCGGGGGTTTATCTGCAGCATTCGGACAAGCCCCTTACCCCAACGGAGAGACCTACTTTCACGTCCCGTCCGGCCGTTTCTCCGACGGCCGTCTTGTAATCGATTTCATAGGTACTGCTTCTGCAACTTCTTTCTGTTTGCCAGCTATGATGTTATGATTAGATTCTCAATCGGAAACTTTAATCTCTCCGTTTTCCTTTGCTATAATGTTTGTTTCACTTGAGGACTATAATAATTAATGTGAAAATGTCACATGCATCGATCTCAATTGTCTCAATTAGATCTTTGGATAGTGAATGTCACCAACCATTCAAATTTAAATTTTATGACCTAAAATGTTTTAATTACTGTAGAATGGTTTTAACCTTAATTTTTTTTCAATAAGTTTTTTTTTTTTTTGGTAACTTTGAGTTAGCTATCTTAATTTAGTTTTACGAATGTTTTAACCTAGAAAAAAAATTATATTCCAACAAAATTTTTAAAACCGAACAAATCATACCAACCAGCCAAACTTCAATATACATTAAAATTTTGTGTTTTTTTTAAAATTCATTTTCTTATTTTGACCGTTTTGGATTTAAATTTTGGCTATTAGATGTGTTTATCCTCGGATTTGAAAAAAAAAATCTGGATCATTAGATCAATTTCAAAAATTACCCTAAAAATAGAATTTTGATCTGGACGTTGGACATGAGGAGCCGAACTTTTGGCCATCACATCAATGTGCTATGCCTTTTTTTAAAAAAGAGGTGGCTCCCCCATTGGGTCAAAACCCAAATTCTTTGGGTTTAGGTCTTGTTGTTGCGTGACAATTTTTGGGTTTGGGTCTCCTTGTTGCTTGACAATTTACGAGGATAACTTATACAATAGGGGGAGACCGTGCGAGATCAAACAAGATAAAATACAAAAAGATCTTATATGTAGAATGTGTCTTACTAATAACACAATCAAGACACCGCTGTACTTGTGACCCGACACATGAATTCAGTTTTATTTACATGTCCAAATTATACTAATTAAGATGTTATTTTCTTGCTGTTGTTGTTTGAAAGCGGAAAGCTTGGGGTTGCCTCATCTGAGTGCATTTCTTGACTCGATGGGATCAAACTTCAGCCATGGAGCCAATTTTGCCACAGCTGGATCAACCGTTATACCTCCAAACACAACCATTTCCCAAGGTGGGGCGAGTCCCATCTCATTAGACGTGCAGCTTCTTCAATTCTCCGACTTCCGCACACGATCCCAAATTTATCGCACAAAAAGTTGGTTACTCCTCTACCAGCCTTGAATTCCTTTTACTTCTCGAGCCTTCGTCTGACCGTTAAATTCAGCAATACATATTTAACGTACTATATAGAATATCTACCTTTGACATAGGCGAATTATTCGAGAAATCGCTGCCGAAGGAAGAGTACTTTTCTCAAGCCCTATATACCTTTGACATCGGCCAAAATGATATCACTGCTGGCTACAAACTCAATTGGACCGCAGAACAAGTCAAGGCATATCTTCCATATGTACTCACCCAGCTCTCAAATGCCATCAAGGTTGATCTTCCTTTTGTTTTCATTTCATGTTTTCTTTATATTCTCACCGTCAGTAGCTCACGCGCACAAGATGAGTGATAGTAAATGCATATGAGACCTGCAATCTATCAATGATTAGAAATGGTTCACCGTGAACGGCTGATGTTAACTCTACTTACAATTTGACATTATTCTTTTTACAGAGTGTATATGATCAAGGAGGAAGATCGTTTTGGATACATAACACAGGCCCATTGGGCTGCCTCCCTTATGTTTTGGTCCGGTTCGTCACTGATCCGGCCCAAATAAATAAATATGGGTGTGCAGATCAGATCGATGAGGTGGCCAAATTTTTCAATCAAAGATTAAAGGAAGCTGTGGTTCAACTCAAGAAAGATCTTCCGTTGGCTGCAATCACCTATGTGGATGTCTACTCAGTAAAGTACACCCTCATCACCCAAGCCAAAAAATATGGTAACGCCTCACTTCGTTTATGTGATTGGAATCAGAAGTTCCGTGATGCATCAATGTATTACTCACATTGCCATTTGATTTCATATAAAATTTGGCCGTCCAGCTGAGTAATGTATTTTATACACTGATGCTTAGTAAAAAAAATTCACAATTTTGAATATGTAGGTTTTGAGAATCCCCTCATCGCGTGTTGCGGTCACGGTGGTAAATATAACTTCGACCGGTACGCAAAGTGCGGGGCCAAGAAAATGATCAACGGCACGGAGACGTTGATAGCCAAATCATGCGATGATCCAACGGTTCGGATCAACTGGGACGGGACCCACTTCACGGAGGCAGCCAACAAGTGGATATTCCAACAAATTGTGAACGGCTCCTTTTCGGACCCACCAAACCCTTTGAAAACGGCCTGTCGTTGCGGTTAGAAGGGACCGCTGAATCACTAAACTCGCACTTGTGTTCTGTGGGTGTTTTTTTCCTTTTGCTTTTACCCAAACAGACTTTTCACTTGGAATGTATTATTGGGCTTGTTTTTTTGCCAAAGAGGAATATCAAACAAAAGTGGATGGGCCACCAAAGAGGCCCATCATCATCCACGCCCTCGAGGATTTATGTTCCTGTCGTTTTAGAGGTTTGCATGCTGTTGTGGGCCAACCCTAGATTTTTATATGTTTCTTGTTTTCACTTTGGTACTTGCACTTTTCAGCAGATTGAACGGTCAGATCCTTGGATACGAATATTACTTTATATCCGAAGGTTGTGGATAAATGTACCGTTTAGATTGCGACTCTTATAAAGATAGAAAATAGATCATTTTATTTTTATTTTACTTTTAATAAATTGTAAGTAACTTGTTAAATATTTAGATGTACACTAATTATATATTTGTTCTCAATGTTTTTAATATGTTATAGTACTTTATAATTTATTTGTCATTCTATTTTACAATTTTTATAACCCAATACAATTAATATAAATACGTATTTTTTTAACAAACGATATTATTTACTCTAAAGAAAGAGGTACTTTATAGTAAATTTAACTAAAATTAAAAAAATTGCATCTATTCCACTTAGACGCCTCGGCACTAAGTATCTGCCTAACGTTCGACTAGCGCTTGACCATGAAATTTAAGTGATACAAACACAGTTATCTCATAATCAAATTCGACTGTCGTACAAACGAATTTGACTCTCACACAAACCATCAGAAAAAATTATACTAAAAAACCAATAATAAAACTAAGTACAAAAAGAAAAACAAATATATGATCCAAATATACGTCATAAATAGGTAATTGGATAAATAGGACTTGGAGGATTATGGGACAGTGATCCAATGTGTCCTTGTCCAACCATGTTCCATGTTACTCAATTCCAGCTGTAGCAAAAACTCCCAAACCACTTGGCCCCACCTCTTCATAATTCACATCATATCTCGAAATCTCACTCTTAATCTGCATCAACGTGGACCCTTAATCACCCACATTTATCCTTAATCACTTTGATTAACTTAATCCAATCATGCCGCTAATCACCTCATTCCACCCTCCACGCATAGACAAATAAAGAAAACACAGAGGATGCCCCACCCGCGTTATCATGCTCGACTACCACACCAGAACCTACCTTTTCGGTCAAAGATTGGTCAACGGCCGAAAGCGACGGGGGCTCAGCCGTATGCTCCGCCGACACCGGCTTAAATATAAACATTCCGTGCCTCGGACCGGAGCAAAACAGCCAATCATGAACATCCCAGAAAACTTCAACTCTGTTTCTGTTCACATCAACACAATCATTGCCTCTGAACTTCCAGTGAAGCCGCTTCACACGAACGGCTTGGATCCCATCAATCTTTATCTCCAACTCCGGATCAGACCCATCTGAGCCGTTGCTGCACTCGATCAAAATCTCATGGAAATTCTCCTTCTCGTGAAACTTGATTCGTGTTGAAAACTTCCTCTTCCCGAACAAATGCTCCCTCCTCGAAACCAGAATCGGCTCTATGAGCGACGGCCGGCAGCCAGTTTTTCTGAATGCGTCTTTTTTCTGATCGCCAACGAGCAAAACCACCTCCTCTTCGCAGACAATGGCGACGTAGTAGTCCGATTGTGGCTCCGTTTCGCCGTTGAATTTGGCGGCCTTGAGGTCCCAGACGACGTCCACGGTGATGCCGTCCACCGTGAATTGCTTGGAGCCTTGCTTGCGCCAGAAGTACCACGGCTTGAGCTCAACTTTGCACCGGTACTCTTCGTCTCTGTTCTGGCCTTGCACCGAAACAGAGAGGCCGTGGAGTAACAGATTCTTGCACCAGGTGACGGTGATCAGCCGGCACCGGCCGGCTATCTTTGTGCTGTACACTGACATGAACACGCTCTGCCCCGACCTGATCACGCCGGTTGGGGTTGGATCGTCGGCCGGCCTTGGAGTGCCGGCTGTGAAGCAGGCCGGAATTCCAATTGAATCGTGCATGGTAACTCAACGAAATGTAAGAAAACCAATTGATTTAACGAACGAAAGAGGAATGCGTTCGATTAGCTAAGATCCTCCCGGAAAGAATTTCGCAGGTTTTCTTACAGCATGGCATCCAACCCAAACTGGCAGACTTAGAGGAAGAGAGAAGCGAGCCCGAGAGTAAACAGTTTATATTATGATAGTACAAGCGATACTCTGCACTAGGCCTGGCATTTTGGACCCAACCCGTTAACCCGACCCGACCCAACCCGTTAATATTTGTATTTGGGTAGATGCTTAACGGGTCGGGTCGCTAACGGGTGAACCCGTTAAATAACGGGTCACTTTGGATCAACCTGTTAGACCCGTTAGGACCCGTTAACACCCGTTAGCACCCGTTAGTTGAGGATATTTTAGTAATTTTAGTAAAGTCTTAATAACAAAAAATAAACTTTATGAAAAAAAAAAATAATAATAATTGTTAACGGGTGAAACGGGTGACCCGTTAGCTTAACGGGTCGGGTTGAACCCGACCCAAACCCAATAAACCCGACCCATTTACAGGTCTACTCTGCACTAAACTTAAAACGTAAAATGCTTACGTTTCATGTAAACTATGCGAGCTTTTTTCCTATCTTTTACTGGCTTTCTGTTTATAACAAAACCTACTTTATTTCGTCTTGGAAGTGGTTTGGGTATGGAGGATAAGTTCGATCTCAATAAAATATATCTTTTTCATGCATGGAAAAAAGCAAACGAGCACCTTTTCCATCACGTACGAAGTTCAGTGACACCGTACCAGAAAAATAAACAACTCCAACAGGTTAATGTTAGGGAGGGCATATGGGTGGGGTAAGGGAGACTAATTTAGATTAAATATTAAATATTTTGGATTAACGATGTCGGTAATTATGTTTCCACATGGTTTACGTGTTTTAATTAAAATTTCTACTGTTTTACTACATCTTTTTTTACTCCAGGATTGAACGGTAGGGAGTGAGTTGTGTGTGGGGAAGTGAGTAGATAGCAGGAATCCTGGGTGGCAGCTGCAGAAAGATGAGAGGAATCTGCTTTGCTCCAACTCAGAGTCTCCACCACTCTCGAAGAAGCTGAAATGGTTATTAAACGAGCTCTAAGGGATTATGGCGGGCGGGGAGATTTACAGTCTGTATATAGAAAATTTGGTGAAATGGAAAGAATAACATTTCTGTGATACAATTAAGACAAAGCAACAGATTAAATGAATCGATTGTTACCTTTCTCAAGAGTCAGTTTGATTGATTACTGAAGCTTCATTTATCACGACTTATGTTCAGTAGGGCAATTACAGTTGCTCACGCGCGCACACAACATATACATCAAAGGTGAGCAAGAAGCACTGAGGAAATAATGGTGGTCCACGAGCGCTATCATTGAGCTTTTGGAAAGAGAGAAAGCGACTTCCTGTTACTTGCAGACTTGCAGTTAAAGAATCTAACATATAGCTATGGTACCTGCACAGCTTTCTCTATAGCTAGCTTTCTGGAATAATATGCTTATGTAGATTTCTTATGAAATTGATGAAGTATACGGGTGCAAGGCGATCATATGAAGGATAACCTTCAGCAACTCAAGGATGCTTTCAGGAAGACCATGCAATGTTTCTGATATACTGGTAGATTTGGTTGAAGCTGTAAGACATCTTGCTGAAAAACCAGCAGCGCGTGATCGAACTGAATGAACTTGGAAAATCTTTGCAAGTTGCTGTAGGAGAACCTGTTGGAAAACTTAGGGTCTAATTGCTATTTTAAATCACATAGAAAAATCAAGAAATAATTCATGCAATTATATATCAACTGAGCATTTTAATCGAGAGTGCTCAATTAAAATGACATAAGCCATCACTTTTAATTTAGTATTTCTTTTGAAAATGGTCAAACGTGCTATGGAAAGCAGCATGCATATATGGATCAGTCGTCTGGATGAAATAACAGACATGATTTCATGTTATATGACAGATAATGTCATTTCGAAATCGAATTTGCCCATTATTATTATGCAGTCCTTTAGGTGGAGTTACGCATATATTATAATGAAAGTTTTGGTCATATGGTTCAGGTTTGGATGCAAGTTTTAAGGATTGAATAGTTTAAGATTTCATGTTTTAATGATTGATTAGATTTAATGTGTTTGGGCCCTGTTTTGTTCTGTGCCTTTTGGGCTTTTACAAAATTAAATTCTGACCAAAACCAGAGAATTAAAAAAATAATAAAAAGGTAAAAAGGGATAGAGTAGTCTACGGAGGGTCAATTCAATTAGAATTTTGAAGAATTTTAATAGATTTATAAATCCATCGATTTTGATAGGGTTTAATTGATTTTTAAAAAGGCTAAATCGTGAAAATGGTCTCTGAGATTTGTATAACACATCACTTTGGTCCCTGAGATTTCAAATCAATAGAAGTGGTCCCTGAGATTGTCCACCATCCATTATTTTTGTCTTTCCGTTAAAAACTCCGTTAAGTGTCCCGGAGCTTTTAGCTGAAAGTTTGGGCAATTTTCAAAGCTTCGTAACTCAATCGTTTTTAACCAAATTTGACCCATAATATATCAAAATGAAGATAGGAAAGTGTAAAATAAGATTATACCTATTTGGAAGCCCAATGGTTGCCAGAGATAGCCGGAAAATAGACTTAAAGTTGACTGGTTCAAGGGAAAACTGGAAAACTCGCTGGAAACTGGGTAAACTTTAAACCTTCATAACTTTTTCAATACTCAATGAAATCAAGTGATTCAAAAACGAAAATTATACTTCTCGATGAGACAAAGAGAATGGTATCTTTTTTAGTGGCTAAATCATCATAGTTTGGCCGAAAAGCGGCTCAAAAGTGGCTGTCTTGGTCTTAAGTTAGCCACTTTCGAGGCGTTTTTCGACCAAACCACGATGAGTTAGCCATAAAAAAAAAGGTATCATTCTCTTCATCTCATTGAGAAGTATGATTTTTCATTTTTGAATCACTTGATTTCGTTGAGTATTGAAGAAGTTATGAATATTTAAAATTTACCCAGTTTTCGACGAGTTTTCAAATTTTTCCTCGGACCAGTCAACTTGGAGGCTATTTTATGACCATCTCCTGCAACCATTGGACTTCCAAATAGGTATAATCTTATTCTACATTTTCCTATCTTCATTTTGATATATTATGGGTCGAATTTGGTTAAGAAACAATTGAGTTACGAAGCTTTGAAAATTGCCCAAACTTCCGGCCAAGAGCTCCGGGACACTTAACGGAAGGACGAAAATGATGGATGGTGGACAATCTCATGGACCGCTTCTATTGATTTGAAATCTCAGGGACCAAAATGAGGAGTCATGCAAATCTCAGGGACCATTTTTGCGATTTAGCCTTTTAAAAATTCTATGTAAAACTTTGAGTGAATTCCCTCAAATTCTCAAGGGAGATGTGAGATTTAATAATGCTTAAAATAAATTATGAAATCTCTTCAATAATTCACATATTTTTAAAATCCTTTAAAATTAATTTCTAATTGAATACACATACTTAAAAGGTTATTAACTCATTTAAAATCCTGATTGAATACACATAAATTTTTAGATAATCACTTAAAATTCTAATTTGGTACCCCCCCCCCCCGGAATTTGTAAAAGGTAGTGCTATTCACACATCATTTTTTACTTTTCAGTCACCCTTATTAGTTTTGGTTCATTAATCATTTGTAATGCATTGGATCCGACCGCCAAAGTTAAAAATGATGTGTAAATAGTATTATCCTTTGTAAAAATTAAAAATAAAAAATTTCAACATCCTAATTGAATACACAGGACTTGTTTATGACAAAAGATGTAAACATTTACCAAACAATAGTTGAAAAAAAAACACTAGACCAGACCCCCACACTAATGCACACCTGCCCAACATCTTAACACGTCAAAGCCATTCCCAGAGCTTGGGTTTGGCAGATTTGATTTGTTGCTTTTTTTATTGCTTTTTCTTTTACACAAAGAGAAGTAATAATAGTTGGAATATGCCACTTACTTTAAGTATGAGAGAGACAAAACACAAGGGAGGCAGATTGTTTGTCCTTCTATTTGGGTGCTTTTTTTTTTTTTTCATCTTCTTCTATTTGTGCAGTCACGATTAAGTCACGTCAACATTTTATATTTTTATTACCTTTTGTCTTATTATATCTGTTGATGCACAAAACCGGATGGTCTTGGTACAACGTAAATCCGACCGTGAATCTGCATGAAATGTAAATGACACAAGAGTTATCGTGGTTCACCCCAAGGTTTGGGCTACGTCCACACTGATTTTATTATATTTCTCTGTTGAAGAGGGAGAGAGAGCTTAGGGGATGTGAGGAGCTTTGAGAGGGGGTGAGAGGCTTCAGAAATGGCCTCTGAGAGTGAGAGTGAGGCCTCTCCTAGAATGAGGGTAGGAGTCCCCTTTTATAGAATAAGGGGCTCCTCCTCTTTTACAAAGTATGGGCTTTAGTGTGAGGCCCAATACAAGGCCCAAGGCCCAAATATACGAGGCCCTAAATATGGTATAAACAGTAGTCCCCCAAGTCTTCAGTCAAGAGAGTCTTTTGGCTGGAGACTTGAAATTCAGTCCATGTGTGGGCCGAAGTAACTAGATGTCGTCTAGAACTAATGCTTAATATGAGGCGGTGCCCAATCTGAAATGATGCTCAACTAGAAGTAGCACATGCTGCGAGGCCGCTTTGCTTGTAGCTTGTGTTGCCTTGGTTGGCTCGGCTTGTGGCGTTTGAAGGTGAGGGAGTCCCTTTTATAGAATAAGGGTTCGCTCCTTAATACATAAATAATGGGCTAGAGTCCCCCAAGTATTTTTCATGAGTGCTTTCTAAAAGTGAAGGAGTCCCTTTTATAGAATAAGGGCTCGCTCCTTAATACATAAGTGATGGGCTAGAGTCTCCCAAGTATTTTTTATGAGGCCCAGTTGAGGCCCAATATATGGTACATAATGTAGTCCCCCAAGTCTTCGGTCAATAGAGTCT